ATAAGTGTAACAAACTTACGAGTTGAAAGAATGTGTTATAGCACATTGTGTAGCCCTTTCAATTCTGCATTTTTCTATGTATAAACCATTCCGGGTCTGAGTGCACTGACAAAACTATATACATTTTATTATGTTTAATGAAGGTTACATATATGGGAAGCAAATAGTCATCGATAATGTTGATCAATAACTCTATGAAGACATTATTTCGAAAAGATGTGCTATAAATTATTTTAAAGCCCGTTTAATTACACATGTTTTCGTATGTAAGATTCTATTAAGAACATCGAACTTGCAGAGAAAAATGAATAAATACGATCAAACAAACTTTTTGGACCGATGCTCAGAAATGATTAAAACTCTCAGCATATGGTAGTCTACAATCAACTTTTAAGGCGCAGAAATATTAAAAACTAAATAGCGAATTGTTCCTGATCAGTTCGAGTCGTTATCTTCTCACAAATATATAGGGCCATTTTCTTGCAGAAACCGTCCTCTATCCTTTTGTTTTATAAGTTTATGAATCTATTACTAAAGATGTTTCTTTTCTTTCTTATAAGACATTATTCACTGGTGACGGTTTTGTGGAAACTACTCAATCTTCATGTATTATTACTGAATTCAATGACAAGGAAGCTGATAAAACTGATTTAAAATCATGAACAATCGACAAGTCAACCGCTGAAGCGTCTGTTACTAGGAAAAAGTCTTAAATAATGACAAAAAAAATTTATGTGATTTATTTTATGGAAACAACATTTATAATTATAAACTTTAAGTATATGATCTAACATTTCTGACCATGCTGCTCGTGGCTGTTTCGCCATAAACCAATATTATCTAAAAGTGCTGGTGTTTCTTTTCTCTATCTCATTAAAAGAAATGTATATACAAACAATTTACGTCTTTTTCTTCTAGATAGCAGTATGTTCCTAATTTTTTTTCTGCATTTATGTTCATGTCTATTCTTCATGCATTTTTCTTTTTTGATCGGTTGAACATGTCATTTGTTTTCACAGTAATACAGTACATAAAAACATGACAGCAAAATTATAGGATTCTCATATTTTGTTCATTATGTGATACGTAATTGTTCGAACTGGATGTTTTATACAGTTGTAACTCAACTTACTTTAGTATTTGAATTTGTTTCTTATTCCACACAAAGCTTTGAAATTAGAATTTATTCACAAAAGTAAAGAGTAGCACGATTATCTGCTGGTGCTGCTGAACTTACTTCTTCAAAAATCTGTTATTTTAAAGTTGCATAACTTTTTGTTTTCACGCGAGAACATGTTACATTAGCTTGTTTCAATCTTTTATAAAACTATGAGAAAAAGGTTGAGCCTGAATGTACCTTGCTTTCCTTCAAAGACTTATATATCATGATGAATATTTTATATTTAAGATAAAGTGAAACAATGTGTGCACTTTTATTTCTTACCACATCTGGAACAAATGAAATATCGACAAATTTATTTAGACGTTTTTTAACAATGACTAAAACAGCATGTATAAACGATCTCCATTCACGTCAACAATTACCAAAGAGGTTAAAGAATGATGATAAAATAATTTTAAACGCTTATGAAAATCCATTACGTTGTCAGGATTGGTTTATACTCTCAAATGGTTTTCTTCTTCCCAGTCAACAACGACCATACTATCGTTCACAATTTCAAGAATATTCAGAATACTATCTAAAATCTATTCATCATCAACATCAAAAACGTTATCATAATCAACGGCGTCTGGCATTATCATCTATTGTCGAGCAAGCTGAAAAAACACAATCATTTAGTACAGGCACTCCACGTTCCATTAATAGACCAAAAGGATTTCAATTTCCACCAGGAAATCCAAATGATCTACCAAAATTAGAACATTTAAAATATATTGAAAGTGAATTACTTAAAACTGTAAGATAATGTTGCAACTATATTTATAAATATTTCATATCGTTTTTTTCTAGTTGCCAAATTTTATGAAGACGTATCATCCATACGGTTTATATTCAAATGAATTTGTTTGTGAAAATTATTATCAAGAACCACCAATAATAATCAAGTAGGTGTGTATTAGTCTAAGAGTTAATATTCTCTCAAACTAATATATTTATATTTAAATTTAGAAATCTTGCTTCATACGCATTACATTTACTTTGGATAAGAACAAAAATTAATTTTGCTTATATGAAAGCAGATGTTCACATTTTAAATTCAACCATTGATGAAGAATCGAGTGTCGTTAAAATACGTTGGCGTATTGTTGGTATACCAAATAAAGCTGTTCTTTCATTAATTGGAAAATTAAAAAAAGCACCAACAAAAGAAGAAGTGAAAGATATAGCTAAACAAAGTGTCGAGTATGTGTTCTTCTTTTAAAACATAGTGTTCATTTTGAGAGAGTACATTGATAGAGTTGTACGCTTTCCTGATGATTGCGAATACGTTAAATAAAATCTTGGAGCAGCTACGTTTGAGCGATCTTTTATATAACCATACATATAATTCATTTCATGAACTTTTCTTTTCACCCACCCATACCCAACAGAATTCTATTTGATTTTATTGATATCAAGAACTGTCATATTGAAAAGTGTCAAAAATCGATCGCTCAAATATCGATTTACGTACAATTTGAGTATTTTGAAATGGCCAATATTGCAAAAATTATAGCGTCTAGTCTTAGGATATTAATTTCATATACAGATAAAATGGAACTAATTAATAAATAAAGAGGAATGAGTATTTGGTTATTATTCTAAAATTTCTTGTTTCTCTTGTTCGTAGATGGATTGATGGTTATTCAATATTTTTTATTCGTGGCGATGGTCGTATCTATAAACATCGCATTGATCGAGTATGTATTGATTAGATGTTATATCTTTAAATGATATCGATTCATTATTTTCTTGTAATTTTAGGTTATGATTGATGAGGAGAAAGTTAAAGCAACTAAGAAAAACATAGAAAAAGTTCCTGCAACTGCACCAGCCGTTTTGTAAAATTTGAGTGTAATCTTTTTCTCAGTTGTAAAAATAAAATTTTTTACAAGTCTGAAATGTTTTTACTCTAGAAAAAAAGAAAAAAGAAGTCTATCTTTTTTAAACTTTTGTAATTTTGTTGCAAAAAAAAACATCTTCAAGCATAACCATTTGTAATTCATGCTTTCTTACTCTTATCTGGCTATTGATGACTGTGTTCTATTTGTACCTTAGTTTAGATATAGTTTTAAGTATATTCTGAATATTTTTTCAGTTTCTCACGATTCAAACAATTACTTTCTTTTGTTTTATGTATGCACGAGAAAAAGAAAGAAAGAAATTTGTGTGTTTTTCTTTATTGAATACATTTTTCTTTTGTTCATGTTTCGTGTATGTATTTTTTTCCAAAAAAATAAAATATAAAAAATATGGAAACATTTTTAATCGTATTATTTTTTTTCTTTTTTCTATTTGAAAAACTAAGAATTATATCTTATCTACGGTACATTAGAATACTCAGAATGATCTCTTGTTAGTTAAATCAGACAGATGACGAAACAAATAGATAATAGTTTATCAGGTTAGAAAATATTTTATAAAACGTTTTTGTTATTGTTTTTCTGAAAATAGGATGACATTATTATATCGTGTTTACGAATCTTTTGATCTCTTGTCATTAATAGTAGAAAAAAACGCTCTAAAGTTTTGTTTTTGAAGACCCAGGATTCCATTTTTACAATTTCCGACTATTGTGAATGTTTTGTAAACTATTCGATCACTATTCATTTTTTTTTCTTTCGAGTCTTTTACATTTGGGAAGAGAAAATTGACTTTGATGATTTTCTGTCTTAAGAATCAATTTTCTTCTCTTTCTCTGTCTCTCTTCTTAGAGTATAACATCTTGTTGAAAATATTTTTCATTACGATCGATCATTTCAATGTTGTGTACGTTTGTACGTTCTGATTTCCTATAATCATAAGAAGAAGAAGAAAAAAAGAAAATTTCTTTCTTTCATGTATTATTATTTTTTATTGCTATGAGTTCTCTTTTTTACTCTAAATACCACTTGACATAGACCATTGTTATTCACTTCTGTTTTTGAATAACAATAATGTGAAAAAGCAATTTGTTTTTGTCTTTAGTTTCATTCCCTAAATGCTTTTTTCTTCATCTTTTTCTTCTTTTAAAAGAAAAAAGTTTATTAATAAATTTATCTCTCTCTCTCTATTCGACTATAGTAGTAGATAATAAATGAGTGGATTCTCTAGTTCTACTAAAGATATAAAATAATTTTCTTTTTACGATTATTGTAGATAAATAAATGAACTTTTGATAAAGAGAAATATAATTTTCAAACAATAGGAACTATCAATTATGACGTCAAATTTATAAATTTATTGAAAAATCTTGTATTCTTTTTGCATATAGAGTTAAAGCTTATTCACCTCCAAATTCCTCCATCAATCATTCAGATACTCTTTTTCATTCATAGTTAACTGCCGGTGTTTGATCATATATACGAGGTAAAAATCATCTCGATATATTTAAACATTAAATGTAATAGATGAAATTTGATAACTGAATATCAATAGTTGTATTCTATGAATTAGTAGTGTCAGATTGCTCTGTTATACTGTCTATGGTTTACACAATGATTTCATTACTTTTTTTTTTTTTTTTTTTTTATTTCACACTGCTTATTTTATATTGTGGATAAAAACTTATTTTCATTTTTTTCTAGTCTTCCAGTTATCACGCCACTTTTTTTTAGTCCAACAGAGAAAAACTAGTAAATGCGAACTGTATGATTACTTTTTTCCTTTCTTTTTCTTCATCATCTTCATCTTCATCGTTCTCGGCATACCTTTACACGCGTTCTATCTTATATGAAGATTGAAGAAACTAAGGTGAGCAAGTCATATGAAAAAATGTCGAGTGTATGACATGACACGTAATCAAAAATCAAATTGAACTTAAGTTTGTTGTCAAAACGAGTCTGTTCAGCTGTTTTTTTTCACTTTATCTTTTGTCGTTTGAGTTTGTTACTTTGATACTATTTTAGACACATAGACACATGAGATGAGAGTAAAAACGTTATAAAACACGACCTCACGATTCTTTTCTTTTTCAGAAACAAAAAAAGAAAAAAAAAAACGACGTTTTTTTTATGTTTTTTTTTATTCATTTCTTTCTCTGCGAAAGAGCATTCAACACATTTTTTTTATTTTTTTTTTGAAATGGCCGGTCATCGAGCTAAAGATGCTGCTCGCCATTTGAAAGACGAAATTGTTCAATCGCTAAAACATTCAAAATCGCATGGAGAGACAGATTTGGCTGGTAGGCATACTTTATTTTTTACTTACATTAATATCTTTTTCTTTACTACACAATATCTAACATGTACAATTGTTTCTACTTACTTTGTTTATTCATTAACGTAGTTTTAATAACATATCAAATATTATTAGTGTGTTAACGAGATGTTTAATGATCAACTAATAAAATTGCCATTCCTTTTTGTCTATTCTAGTTTTTTTAAAATTTAGTTCTCAGACAATAGAAAAAAAACTAGATATTATTCTTGCTATCATTTGTATAAAAAAAACCAAAAAAAAAACTAAAATAAAACAGAGCAGAATTTGGAACAATTCATGAAAATATTTATCCCGTACGAACGTCTTACTAATAATAAATCAATTTTTCTTTGAGATCTTTTCTAAACTTAATTCGTATACTACACTCAACCGTGTTAGACGAAGAATAGGCAGACAGTTCAGAAAATATTATTCTATTAAAATGGCATGCAACAGATGGTAGAAAAAAACAAAACAAAAAAAGAGAGAAGAAAACCTTTATTCATTTTAGTGATGTATATTTCTTTTTATTTCTATTTTTTTTTTTTGTTCTCTCTATATTAGATATTATTTTTTTTTTCTTTTATCATTCTGTTTATTGTACTAACAAAGCAGCAGTAGATCCACTGCCGAGAACGGTATGCCAGTTCGTATGCGAAAAATTGTTCGGGTTTGTAGACACCCATTTCGTCACAATCATCATAATCGAAAAAACGGATTAATACAGCAGTGTATGTCTAAAATAATTTTATATTTATATATTCATCTTTCATAATCATATATCAAAAAAAAAGAAAAGAAAATGTAGTTTCAAATTATATTTTAATTTTTTATTTTTTTTAAAAATAATTTTAATTAAAATAATTTTTTAATTTTGCTGCTGTTTGATGAATAAAAAGTGAAATTTAAAAAATATTATAGATAATAATCACTTTTTGCTCACATGCTTGAATTGAATATGAAAAAATGAATTATATTTGATTAATTCTTTATTACCTTCCTTTAAGATGTTAGATGCTTGCTCACGAAAATTTTGTTTTTTTCTTTTGTTGTTTTGACCAGCTTTAGTTGTAACGTTTGTCTGTGTACATGTGTAAATATATTTTAAAAAACAAAAAAAAAAAATAAGAAAATAATGTATAAAGAGTATAGTTATCTGTTGTCTATTCTTCGTTCATAAAGGTTAGATAGTTCTATTGACATTGATGATTGACTATTTCAATATTTAAATATAACAAAGTATTGAGATTATCTCTTTTATTTTTTAACCTTTAATAAATTTTATTGACCATAATGTTTTGTTAATGATGTAGTAATAGACAATTTAATTCTCTCATCAAATTCATTGTTCAGTAGGAGTTATAATGCAATTTTTTCTAAAAAATTTTTCATTCATAATGTAGTACAATACGTTAGAGTCTATATATTGTTTATATGACAATTCGAGTTTGCCCGATAATATTGACGAAATAAAAATAGAACAGGAACATATCGATCAATGTCAATATATATTGAATAAATAGTAGACATTTATTATGAGTTAATAAGCAATTTACAATTTTTCTAAACTATTTAAATTTTTGATATTTCATGTTGAATAAATGGCGATAGTCAGATTAACACAACAAACGAGTTAAATCAAAAACTATATTGAAACAAAATAAAAATATAATTGATATTATGATGGACTTGAATAAATAAATTAAGCATAATATAAATTGATTCCATGTTATTTGACATGAATAGTTTATAATACTCATATATATATAGAGAGAGAGAGAGAGAGGAATAGAAGTGATCTGAAATACGTAGCTTTGCGTAGTTTGAAGAAGAACTCATTGATTCTAATTGAAAACATCTCGAAAGTGTATATATAAGTTAGTTCTAGTACTCGATATTATAATAATTTAGATTGAGGAAAGCTGGACTGTTCGAATGGTAGAATGTTACTGTCTTGTAGTCAAATGTTGAATCGTCAATAGATGATTTTTTCATAAAACTTTAGAAAATATAGGTTGTAGATAGATGGGCTTTGTTTGTTCAGCTGTTGATAGTTCGGTTTTGACTTTAGAGACGATTTTTTTTTTGTGTATTGCTCGGTAAATTGGAAAAATCTGCTGTGAGCGAATAGAAAGAGTCTTGATTTACATTTGAATTTCTCTATCTAATCTTGAGTTGGGGTATTAACTATGCACATCATACCGATGAAGAGAATAGACCGATATTATTCTTCTAGTGATTTATCACGCGAGCACACTATTTGTTCAATTGCATACGAATTTATTTCATACAATAGGCAATTGTTTTTTGTGATTATAGTTTTTTTTTTTCTAATATGATTTATTCTTATGATTAACACGAATATCCGCTCTGCTTTGTTCGAATTTTGAATTGTCTTTTATTGTTTTGCCGTTTTGCTTTTATTTATGGGCTTATACATACACACTAGACATTCATGCACACATACATCTAAACCGTTTACTAATATAAATATCGTCATGTAAAATTCTTTTATTGATCATAATATTTTTGTTTTAACTTTAGATCCTACAGGTCAGACATTATCTGTACATACAAGAAAAGATCGATCACGAAGTCCGAAACCAACGACGATTGCCGCATTAACATCAATTCCAATTACACCACAAAATACGAGTAGTAATCCATTCCCTGAATCTGGTGAGGAGATCACCAATTTCTTTTCTTTTAAATTAAAGTTTATCTAGATTATTTTTTCTAGGTAGTCATTCTGCATCATCGTCATATTCTGATATGACAACGATTGTTACCCCATCATCTTTGCCAAGCTCACAAACAACTGGCGGTCCTCCACCCTTGAATACAATCACACCAAACACAAGTGCAGCAACTGGAATTCTAAGTCAACAACAAGTAACCATGCAATCAACAGCACCAGCAATAGCCAATGGTAAAGATGAAATGCGTGGTTGGTTATATAAATGGACAAATTATTTAAAAGGGTATCAAAAACGTTGGTTTGTATTACAAAATGGAATATTATCATACTATCGTTCACAAGATGAAATGTCACATACATGTCGTGGAACAGTTTATTTGGATTCAGCCAATATATCATCATCTGATTCATGTCATTTTGTTATTTCAAACGGTTCAACAACAATTCATTTAAGAACATCCACCGAAACGGATAAACAACGTTGGATAAATGCATTAGAACTAGCTAAAACAAAAGCATTAAAATATCGTAAAACATACAATGATGATTCAGATAATGATGATTCGAGTAGTAATGAAAATGATTTAGATGAGGAAAAATTAAAAACAACTAGTGGTGGTATAATAATACCAAGAGAAACCATTGTGCCACAACCAAATAATATTGAACGCGCTGAAATTCAAACATTAACAAAAACATTTGAATCAAAATTAAATGATTTAAAAATGTGTATGGATTTAATTAATCGTCATTATCAAGCATTACATCGAACACTCGGTGATTTAGAACAAATGGATAAATCAGAGACAACAATGAATACAATTAAAAGTGTTAATGAACGTGCAACACTATTTCGAATAACATCAACTGCTATGTTAAATGCTTGTCAGGAATTAACACAGTTAATACAATCACAAGGACGTAAATGGCAAAAAGCTATACAATTTGAACGTGATGCACGAATAAGAATGGAAAAAATGTGTGAACAAGTGGCAGCACAATCAGCTAAATTAGAAAAACAAGTTCAACGTGCATCAAGAAAAGGAAAAGAAGATATGGTAGGAGGTACATCATTGAGTGGTGGACGACCAACAATCACTAGTATTGGATCGTTAAAAAGTTCAGATGATAATAGAATATCACGTACCGAATCGGATGATGAAGAATTTTATGACGCTATTGATGATCCACAAACAATTGGAGTATTTCGTGTACCCATGCAACATAAAGAAAAATCAAACGACATATTAGATGATGATGCAAGCTCTGGAGAAGATGAAGGAGAAAGTGATGTTGATCAAAAGAACTATCCAATGGTTATTGTAAAAGGTAAATGAAATGACTAAGACTTTAATCTTTCGTATAAAAGTAACCATTAGCTTTGATAAATTTATCAAAAAAATTGCGATATAACTAAGAAATTTGTTAAAAAAAATTACTTTTTATGGAAAGTTATCAATGTTTTAGTAGTTTGGCCACGACTAAAACATCATTGAGTCTCAAATCACATTTGATGAGATTATACAGACATGTGTTAGAAACTTTAACGATTAAGTGAATCGATTCTCATAGCTATCATAATAACGATTTCGATAAATGTGAAAATAAATTTTTAGAGAAAGACAATTCACGTGTATTCGGTATGGTAAGAAGAATGTACATGTAGTATAATTCAACTTAACCAATATTCTGTACGTTATTTGGTTGAGGGAAATATTGTCCTATAACATTTGAAATAGACGGAGTTCTGACAATCGAACAATAACGCTTTGTGTATGATCGGTGAATGAAGATAAAAGATAATGCATCCGTTTTATAGATTTTACTCTCTAAATTTTTAACAAATCTCTTTGTTCAAAAATAATGTTTATATTCTGCTTTATATTGACCATTTCACTGATATTCCATAATTAAATACTTAAAAAACAATATAAATATTTGTCTTGAGTTAGGTACATGATACAATTTCAACGATCACAATGTTTTAGAAATGTTCCTGGTTACTTAGCAAATGTACTGCTAATAACATTTTTCTTCTCATTTTCGATATGTGTCTGTGACTGAATTTTCTATAGAGATGTGTTTGTACTTTTCCTTTTAATAAAATGGAAAAAATGTTGACCATTTTAGTGTGCATATATTTACAGATGTACGTTATCTAGAATTGGTGATAAGAATATGCAAGCAGTTCGGATGTCAAAATATTTTCTCAGTATGAAACGGTTTAGTTTAAGAGATGCCACGTTTAGGAAAGAGTAAGAGTGTCTACCCAATTATAAAGAGATTTTTTATTCAAAGATTAAGCGTTACAAATATTGTATTTACTAGGGCCAAAGAAAGATGTTGCTGTTCCAACAACACCGACTACTGGTGGTGGTACGACAACAAATGTAAATCCATTGGAAACAAATACCAATGATCAAACTATATCCGATGCTCAATTTTCAACAGTTGGTCCTTTACGATCTAATCAACCAAAACGTAAACGTCGTGATCGTATTCCTGAAAGACCAAATTATAGGTAAGTATCACATTTTTATTAGACTAGTATCTTAAAGAGTTTCTTTCAAATTTTTAGTATTAATCTATGGGGTATAATGAAAAATTGCGTCGGAAAAGGTAAGATAATCTTTTTTTTCACTTTCTCACTATTATTATAAATTTTCTTTTATTACAGATCTGTCTAAAATACCGATACCAGTGAATTTCAGTGAACCAATATCAATGTTACAACGTATTACTGAAGAATTAGAATATTCATCGGTATTAGATCGAGCAGCAAAAGCTACAGATAATTGGGAACAGTTAGCTTATGTAGCAGCATTTACAATATCGGCATATTCGACAACAACAACAAGAGTCAATAAACCATTTAATCCTTTATTAGGTGAAACATATGAATGTGATCATACCGATGATTTAGGATGGCGTTCTATGTCCGGTAATTAAATTTTATCTGTTGTATAAATAGTGATAATTATTTTATTGTTTGATCATTTTTAGAACAAACTGGTCATCATCCACCCGCATTATCCACACATGCTGAAGGTCAAGGTTGGATATTGTATCAAGAATTTACCATGACTAGTAAATTTCGTGGACAATATTTAAGTATAACACCATTAGGATATTCACATTTGGTATTTAAAAATACAGGAAATCATTTTACATGGAAAAAAGTGACAACATTAGTAAACAATATTATTGTTGGTAAATTATGGATTGATAACGTTGGTGAAATGGACATAATTAATCATACAACAAAAGATGTATGTAAATTAAAATATTATCCGTATAGTTATTTTTCAAAAGATGTACCACGAAAAGTTACTGGCGTTGTCACCGATTCACATCAACAAGCCAAATGGGTATTAACAGGTACATACCAATTGCATTAACTTCATTTGTTTCTCAAATATCAATTCTTTTTTCTACTAATATTAGGAACATGGACTGAAAAAATTGAAGGTGGTCCCGTTGATACTACCGCTCGTCATGCTCATTCAAATCATATGGAAACACGTAATATGAAATTATTGTGGCAACGTAAAATGCCACCGGCTTATTTAGAAAAAATGTATAATTTTACCGAATTAGCCATACAATTAAATGAAGATGAACCTGATGTGGCACCAACGGATTCTCGTAAACGTCCCGATCAGCGTCTCATGGAAGAAGGACGATGGGACGAAGCAAATCAAGAAAAATTACGTCTAGAAGATAAACAACGTCAAGCACGACGCCAACGTGAACAAAATGGTCAAGATAATTATGTATCAAAATGGTTTAAGAAAAAACAGGATGAATTAACACAGTCAGAAATGCACATATTTACAAATGAATATTGGGATTGTAAAGCTAAACAAGATTGGTCACGATGTCCGGATCTCTATTAAAGATGAAAATTTGTGTTTTCTCCTCTCTCTTTTTTTTTCGCCTTTTTTTTTATTCTATCAGACAGTACGTGCAAAATAATAACATATTTTTCAATCTAAAATATTTTTTTATGCGTGTGCGTATGTTTTTATTATTCTTTACTTCATGTTGATTTTTTGTTTGCTATTTTTCAATGTTGAAAATTTCTTTTTCTTCCTTCATTAGTTACACGGTTTTAAAAAAAAGAGAAAGAAAATGTTGAAGATGTTATAACAAAAACGGTTATCTCTCATCATTGTCGCACGTTGAAAATCAGATTAATCTCGTCGTCAGTTTTCTTCATCTTGCTAAAAAAATTTAATGCTGTTTTTTGATATATTGTACATAGCATTTCACCGCAATACAATGTAAAATTATATGTAATGAAAAAAGAAGTTTTATGTGTGCAAACAGGCAAGCAAATTACTTTTTTTTTTGAATATCGTTCTAATACTTCATAAATGCTGTACAGTATTTCTCTAATACTACTACGCTAACATTCAACGTGGATGGTTATCTCGACATTTGAAATTTTTCTTCATATTTTTTTTTCAAAATATAGAATTTACCGACAAATTGTGAAAAACATTCTAAATTGTTTCTCAAATTTCTTCAAGCTGTTTTTTAGTCTTAACCGGTGCTGTTTTTCTTCTTATGCGATCTATTTTTTTCCCAATTAAATAATCAATTCAGTTTTCTATCAATAATTAAAATATCTATGATATATATATATATATATACATATATACATATATGTATGTGAGAGAGAGAAATCTATATAATAACTTTATCGTAGTACATCTTTTAGTTTTTTCTGTTTTGCACATTAAACATTGGAGTTTTTACACTTATATGACTAGGTGCTCTTATTTCACTCTTTCTCTCTACGTTCACATTAAAAGTTTCAAAATTGTTCATTTAATCGTATTTTTATCAATAGAGAAGTGTAATTGTGTGTGTGTGTATTTTCTCATTTTATTGTTCTTGATTATCAAATACAGTCACATTTTTTTGGTTTATTTAGTTATGGATTTTCAACTCTACAACATGTTTATGCTTTATTGAGGAAAATGCTTTGTGTTTTTATAATAAAATCTGGAAATGTCAAACTCGTTTTTGTTTTTGATTATCTATGGTTGAAGAGACTCATAATTATTCATGCTAAACACATTATAAAAGCAATCTGTTTATTAGAGTAAAGAATCTATTTCAATCAGAAATAAAACTGTATACAGTATATGTATATATGTAGACACAAAATATTTAAAGTAGCAGCAAAACTTAAAACTAATAGAGTAAATTATATTTAATTTGACATCATAATATTGATTGTCCTCTGCCAAACATTGATGCAATATTGTATTCTATGAATATAAGCTTTATTAGTATGTACTTGAAAATTGAAAAGAAAATTTTTGCTTTCATTCCATTCTTTTAGGACAAGGTAAATTTTCTCATACTTTCTCCTAATAATGATTTATTTTTGTTTTAGTAGGTGTACTAGGATTTAATAGTCTAGAATAGAAAATATACATTGAACCTTGACAATACTGTGAGACTTTTTAGCATAGGTTTTATTAATATTTTGATATTCACGAAAAATTTAACATTCTTTATTTATTTAAATGTTTCTTAACGGTATCTTGAGAGAGATGGATAGAATAAGTTTTGAGCTAGGAAAGATTTGACTACTGAATCTTGTGTGTTTAATTGCTCGAAATAAGTTCGGTCAATTAAGAGAAAGAAAAATTTGGAAAATTAGAACATTTTTTTTTGTGACATATATACAAGGGGGAAAAAGCAGCACCTAGTGCCGATTAGGGCGTTGAAAGGTGCCGAAAAGGTGCTGAGGTGCTATACTAAAGAAAAGTGCTTTTTCTCCCTTGCATGTAGAGGTAAGGAGTTAGTCGTTTGAATAGATCAGTCCCCACATTCAGTTTTGGAAACAAGTAGTACAATAACAACTAGCCATCGAGCGATTATCAAGCATGAAATACATACAATTTTTTGTATTTGCAGTATCAGACATGATAAAATTTATTTTGCATCTAGTAACGTTCAAAAAAAGATGAAACTGAAGTAATACGGGTTGAAAATGTTTGAACTTGTTCTCTTTTGCTTGTTTGATGATGTTGTACTTTTTTCTCGATAATTTTATGTGCTTGGGTTGGTTGATTCTTTCTATGCATTGGACACATTGTAATGAATCTGTCACAGGATAGATTGGGATTTAAGGAAAGTACACCCCTGTACTTTAATCTACGATTAATCTCCAGTAGAAGATCAAGCATGAATAAAATATCTAATTGAAAAGAGTCTTATACATGGACTGTTCTTAATATTCTGTCTTCCTGTCCTTATGCACAGTAAGAACTCTCAGTTTTCGGAAATAAGAGTTCCGTTTGTGAAAATTGCTAGAATTTTTCCAAAAACACAAAAAAAAGAATGAAAACACAAGATTTGAAAATGGTTAAATAGCATTTCCCATACAGAATTTATTTTAAAAGTGTCGGTTTTCCATGATCGTCAGTATTTGCTGTATTATTCGATAAATTAATAGAATATAGAAAAACAATCCATTGTTTTATTTCAAACCAAATATCAGTTTCAGTATTTAAGCTATTTGCTTATTGAATTTTGATAATATATGATGCAATTAAAAGGTCTTACTTTGAACGACCGAGGCTGAGATGTGTGTAAAGAAAAGTTCCGAGCTCAGATTTATTCATATAAAGAAAAAGAAACTAAATTGACTAATTGTAAGTTCATTTGTCTTATTTGTTACGAAAAAAAATATTTGTCAAGTTCATCTTCCCGATTTCTCAACCAGTTAAGCTGAATCGTCATTTTCCGAGTTCTAAAATATTCTCGCTGGTGAAAAATTTAACAATTAAACCAAATAAATTCGACACAACATGCTTATCACTCATTAAATATAAAAAAGGAGAAAAAAAAAAGAACTTTTACTGTTCGCATCAAATGTTTGATGTTTTTTCTTTGACGCATTACCATAGAGAGTGTCCAGATTACCTGATAAGGAAAACAGATGTCATTTTTAGTTGCGTGACACAGCCCTGATCTTGACTTGGGACATACTCAAAGACAATTATTTTTTGTAAAATAACCCTTTAAATTTGAATAAGAGGACAATGTCAGAAAAAACCTGAAAAACGAACACCTTTTAGAGTAAATGACAAAAACACTCTTTTAATCAGTGTCAACTAGTTTGAGTTTCAGCTATTCTGATTTTCTTTTTTTATTATTCTCTGTTCATCTTAGTAAAACGATAGTTGTGTTTTTCTCTCATTTTTCTTCATATCAAAATTATTTTTCCATCATACGAATCCCCTTCAATTCTGTCATCGACGGGTAGTATGATGAGTTTTTTCTTATATTCATTATTACTGGTTATTCTTTATAATCATTAAATAACAGGTAAGTATATACACATTTCGTTTTTTCTTTTCTTCTCATTTATATCAGAACATATACCGTTTCACGTTATATAGAGATGTTTAGAAGAAAAAAAGACTACATGCTTAAAAATTATCAAAAAAAACAAGATAGTAGTGTGATTTCTTGAATTTTTATAAAGATAATAAAGTTGCATTCATAATAAATATATATATCATACGCTGTATTCAGCATTAAAAATGTACGTATAGAAATCCATATGGCTGTTTTTTATTAGTAGTTCCATGGTGTTGATGAAGATGTAGGGTAAAGAATGACTTTTTAAGTATTTAACAATATCCTCTAGTAGTATGATCCAATAATTTTGAAAAAGTATACTCTAATTTTGTCTCAAATTACTCGTATAATATTAAAATAATAGAAACGTAGCAATTTAATAAAATTATAATGTCAGCTTGTCCTGCTATATTATTGGCGTAAAAATGGAAATAGAATGAAGAAGACGGGTACGATTATCTCTTTGATGCTTGTTGGAGAGCTTCTATATGATACTCGAAAAGATGGATATTACACTCTTTTATGAGCTTGTGAAAAAATGTGGAAGTCAATGACCAATCGGACTAGAACTTTTACTAGAGACAAATTCTCAAAAAGAAAAATTTAACATGTTTTTAACCTCGATCGTACGTAAAAAGCAGAGATTTTCAACATTTTTCGAATATATCTAGAAGAAAAAGTATGTTTTTTCAAAAAACTTAGAATCTAAATTAGAGTCTGAAGTGTCTGTGGTAGAAATTTTAGTTTGATCCGACAATTTTTTTGAGGTGTTGTAATGTGACTAAATGAAAACTGATGTGTAAAAACCTCATAGACGATCATTGCATACACTTGAAGACAAAAACATGTCGATTGTCTGTTCCGATTATATATCTCTGGTAAAATCTCTAGCCCGATCGGTTATTAATCCCCACATTTTTCAACAAGGACAGAATAGAGCGGGATACCATGAACTGTTACTAGAAATGATACATTCAATAGAAATAAAAATAGATAAAAAAATATAGCAGAAATCAATCATATTGCCGTCAATAATATGTAGACAAGAGCACCATCTAAACTGAACGATAAATTTAAAAACAAAAAAAGTTTTTTACAACACTTTTAAACAGTTCGAGATGTATCATTTATTCATTATTTTGATGTTTTTTTCGTCTAGTGTACTTTCGCCATTGAGTAAATTTTTTTACTTATGTGTGTTAATAGAATTGCACGCTTATCATTTGATATGTATAGTCGGTTACTACCGTAACTATCGATGTATACTCTAGACTATAGAATTACTTTTAAAAATAAAATTGATGGATGTTTTTTTATCATGGCCATTGTATAACATAGTTCTTTAGACATAATAGTAACTCCTATCGAAATCCGATTATGTGTCTTTATTGAACGTAGATTTTTGGATATTTTTACCTTAGATATCTTTATATAGCTTTCTTATGGTAAAATCGATCTATCGGACGAAAGTCTTGACTTGAGAATAGTTAAAAAATTGTAAGTTTGTTTA